CGTGTGTGTATGTATGTGCTTCCCATGCACCCAACCTGAAAATTCTAAATTTACTGTGATAAATAAAAAGAGCAGTGCTAACATCCTTGGTCAATGGAAGTCTTCAAGATAGGCTATGAACTCCTATTGGGAGAAAAGCTGAAAAGGAGTTTCTAGATTCACACAATATATTGAACCAGAGAATTTTTTTTTTTTTGGAGAATTTTAAGGATTTCATCACTCTTTTGATTTCATCATTTTGTTTGGTCACGTTGCACTGTGAAAGGGTGGAAATATACTGCTACAGTTAATAATGAGTCTATACAACAATCATTTTCTTAATAATTCAGTATGTATGCATTTCCTAAATTTTACAGGTAATATTTATTGATTTACATTGAAGAAACAAACATCCCTGGACACTGCAGTAATAGCTCTTCGGAAATAAAGACAATCCGCTTACCTTCCAAAGTGTCGCTTCAGAGGAAGCCTTCCAATATCTTGGATAAAAGAAATCTGTGCTGGAAACAAAAATAACGCAAGTTTTAAAAATTAGACCAAAATATAGGAGAGGAAGCACTCTTACCTGTATTTTTTAGAATCAACATAGCTTTCTGCAATATTTCCTTATGAATCATACAGAGTAGGCTGACTACCTAGTTCTTTAACACAGCGCTCTTTCTCAGTGCGGGTTGTTTCAGTGTCATTTACTGGTCCATTTATGCAAATAATAGATGAGTATTATGGCAATGCTCACAGAATCAGTCTCTGACTAGCTAATTTATAAATAGCTGAAATTGCTGAAAACGAAAATAATGCAAGTTTGAAAAATTAGAACAAAGTATTGCTATTTTCGCATAGTCTTGACAGTCTCTTCTTTATATATATTTAGCTATTGAGAAGACACTGCAAAAGATACAGCAATTCAACAGTTTTCACACGGTTGTGAAATTCAGTGACACTGATTACATTCTTCATGTTGTATCACTATTCTTAAGCACCTTTTCCAAATTTACATGGATTCACTGTCCCCTAAATTTCCTACAAAAATAAGTTGTTCTTTAAATTTGATCTCATGTAGATAGTTCTTAAAAGAACACAATGTTCAAAGTAGACACTCTTATAGTTAGGTCAAACTTGATTGATTTTTAAAAAGAGCTCCAGTCTTGAAATTCACAGAGGTAGTTCCACAGGGTACTACAGGTCCAGTACACCCTGTCCTACAGGGTCGCTATGAGTCAGAATTGACTCAATGGCAGTGAGATTAGCTTTTATTATTTGTCTATCTACTCATTCTTCCTCCTTCCTCTTTGACCTGAACTTTTCACTCTCATTTACCAGCTCCTTCTACCCCACCAGATCAAAGAACACATACTGAACAGTGAGGCCTCCACATTTCTTCTCCAGTCCTGTCCCAGGTCACCCAAGAACTGGTGCATTAACATGCAGGTGGGAATCTGAAGTCATCATTTTCAGAGAACCCCCAAAATATCTATCGATCGACATTTCAGGATCTTCCCCAAAGTGAAGCCTATCTGTTGATATATCTGGTCACTTACAGGTTCCAGTTAACTCTGTAGTGCCTCATTAGAACTATGGACGTAGGTGAAAACTTCGGTAGACATATCAATAATAGAAAACACTTGACAAGTATAGACGCCTCCTCGTTTTCACCGACCCTCAACTTCACCAAGCATGATATCCTTTCCCAGGGACTGGTCTCGTCTGATATCAAGTCTAAAGTACATACGATGAAGTTTTGCTATACTGGCTCCTAAGAATCACTCTGGAAAGAAATATGTTTGTTCTTCTGGCAGTACTTGCAATATTCTTCGTCAGCATCATAATTCAATTGCATCAATTATGTGCTTCCACAAAGAATTATGTCAAAGTATTAAAACTGCTTCCACAAGCATTACTTATGGATTTAAGCAAAATGACATCCTTGGCATCAATCTTTTCTGTTTATCATGATGTCCATTGGTACAGTTGTGAAGACTGATTTTCTTTACATTGACTGATACTACATACTGAAGGCTGCGCTTTGATCTTCATCAGTAAGTGCTTCAGTCTTCCTCACTTTCAGCATACAAGGTTGTGTCATCTGCATTATTGTAGGTTGTTAATTAGCCTTCCTCCAATCCGAAAGCTGCATTCTTCCTCAGACAGCCTGGCCTCTTGGAGTCTTGCTAAGACAACTGTGACATACACTTCTCCAACTTTAAACCTCACAGTAGTCCCTTGTTCTTTCTGAACGACTGACTGTCTTTTAGTCCATATGCAGGCTCCACATGAACATCATAAAGTATTTTGGAATTTCCACCCTTTGAAATGTTATCCCTAGTTTTTATAATCCAAACAAACTTTAGCATTAATTTTTAAGATATGGAGGGCCAGCCATGGTATGGAACAGCAAATCAAAGCTTTTATCCCACTCAACCAAGCAACAGTTTTCATTAGCTACTGAAAAACACCTGCCTTGAGTATTATGCACTTTCAAGGTCTACATGGGATGAAAGTCACAATAGTAATTCAAAATATTAGATAGAAACTTGGCAAGAAGTGAGTTTATATTACTGGGAGAGGAATAATTCAGAAAAAAAAAGGTGAGAATATGTAAGCAACTCAAATAATGTAGTCAATGCCAATGAAATGTACATATAGAAATGGCTGAATTGGAATGTTTTGCTGTGTATATTCTTAGCAACAACAAAAATAAATTTAAAAAAGGAAGAAAAGTAAATATCCAAGAATATAAAAGAAAACTAAAAAGTTGGAAAAGCCTATAATTTCCCCTAAACCAATATAATCTTCATCAGAATCTCAACTATACAAGCTAATGATCAAAGCATACATTTGATCATCTTTAGAAAAATTATGAAAATGCAAGTTACTTAATATTAAAACATTGAAAAATTATAATTTAATTTTTGAGTCCCTGAGTGGGCTACTTGATTCACACAGTCAGCTACTAATTTACAGGTTGAACAGTTGAGTCCACCCAGTGAGGCGACCTACTTCTGAAAATCCAGTTATTGAAAACCCTCTGTAGCAAGCACCATGAGTTGCCATGACGTGAAACTGTCTCAATGGCAACTGTTTTTGTTAGTTTGGTTTTAGTGTACAAAGATCAGTGATAGTAAAGCTCACTGCAACTATGTACAGGAACAGGCCAAATGACTATGGGAATTTTGTTATATGATAAAAACTGTAAATATACTGTAAATCAGTATATAAAAGAATACCCAAACCCCTACCATCAAGTCAATTCTGATGCACAGCAACCTTGTAAGACTCAGCATACAATCTACTGACTGACCTCCCTTTTGGGTTTCTGAGACTGTAAATCTTCATGTGAGCACAACAGCTGCCTATTTCTCCCATGGAGAACTTGGTGGGTTTGAACTGCTGACCTTGGGTTATCACCCTATCACACTGTGCTACTATGATTCCTTGGATAAAAGGGTCAATTATTTTTAAATGGCATTGGGAAACCACCATAGCAATTTGGAAACTTATTTACTAATAGAAATCTTTACTTCACTCTATTTAACTAAAAACCTTCTAAGTGGGTGAAAGATTTAAAGCACACATAAAAGCTTACTTAAACTGTCAAAATACTAGAAGAAAACTTAAAGACACTAAAAATAGTTTTCTGGGGAAGGCCTTTCCATAGGAAAGCTAAAAATCTGACCACAAAAAAATTAATAATTTGGGTTAGAAAATACATTGTTTAAAAACTATTAAAAATGATACATCATGGGCTAAGAAAGAGAAGGAATTGCTGCTTAAGGGGTGCTGTGTGTGTCTAGAGTGATGAAAATCTTTTAGAAATTGATAGTGGTTAGTGATGATTGCAAAACCTGTTGAATGTAATGAATGCTACTATACTGCAATACACTTAAAAATAAACAAATGTGTCAACTTTTAAAAAATGTTTATCATATATATTTTTTAACTCATCCCATTCGGGGCTCTTACAACTCTTACAACACTCCACACATCAATTACATCAAGCATACCCATACATTTGCTGTCATCATCATTTCCGAAACATTTTCTACTTGAACGCTTGGTATAAGCTCCTCTTCTTTCCCCTTCCCCCCTCCTACCCTCATGAATCCTTGATCAATTATATATTTTTATTATCTTTTTTTTAAGGAAAAAAGAAGCTTAAATCTCATTCTGTTAAAAATACAAATAAGCATCTTTGTACATGCAAAAAAGAAAGTCAGGAAGAACTAACATCAATCTGTTAAAAGCAATTACTTGAATTACTTAGAATACTTGTGTATTAATCTATTTAAAAAACAAACAAACATGTATTGATTTATGGTAAGAAAACTAAGGGAAAAACATAATGAGCTGAATATAGAAATTTGGTGATATAAGACAATACTTTCTTGAGTGTAAGATGGAAAGGACATGTTATTACCTGGATTTCTCATAGGAATAGTCAGCAGAGCAAGGTACGGTAACAGTTGAGTTTGGAGGCATAAGGCTGGTAAGCAGAAGTCAGAAAAAAGTGCTTTTGCTGCCAGGCAATTGTCTCGATACTAGACAGGGAAGAAAATGTTAAAACGGAAGCTGAAAGGAAAAGTACAACTAAAATAGAGTTATGTTTTCCTAGCCGAAGTTCACTTGCTATGAAGT